TAAAGAAACTACGTAATATGCGTAAAGAGTCGATTCGTGCTTGTACAGATCGGGCTTGTACAGATCGGGGATGGTAACAAGGTTAATACCTGTGTGTGCCGATATATAGCTATCAGACGCAAACGGTTGTCAATAGGCGGAAATTTAGCAATATTGGCGATCGTTGTATGCGTGAGTGTCAGTCGTGACGGCGATGTATCTGCCCATGTCTGTCGATTTTGATTGAAAACGACAACATCTCTCTTTCGAACGTGTATCGCTCCCGCACTTGCGTATGCTTACAATCGGACCCTGTCCAAACATCGGAACCCGCTATCAAATTCGGCTGCAATTCGCCAGCGCGGATGCGAGGCGGGGCACGACGCTCGATCTATCGAGAGTTGCGCTTTCTCCTCAAGCTTCTCCTCGTTATGCGTTCTCCTCAAGTGTATACGTAACGGTCGTTTAATATTTCCCGAAAATGAATATATATACCGTCGTGTAATCTCGCGGTCGTATTTAACTCTAATATTTGAACAATGGAGAAGTTAGGAAAAAATTACAGACCGAGCAGCAAAGTAGAATTCCGCACCGATTCCATATGAATCCTTCATTTAAATTAACAAAGTTACACCGCTCTCTTTAGCTTCTCCCTATTTATCATCGTTCTCATCGTTTCGGCGTGATCTCCCGGTTACTGAGAATTAGCCGCGTTGTAACGGAATTTGGTGCTTTTTCCGGATTTACGGATAAGTTTATACCTTCGCTTGACGTGTCTGGTATATATGCACATTGTAACGCGCGGATCTAATCTTTTGATCCTATAAGCACTGTTCAGCGTGAAATCCTTGGGAGCTGAAGAAGTTAGTTACACGGGACTAATGGAACGCAGTAGGAGCTCTGGATAATGGACGACGCTATGGCGTCGTAAATGCGAGGCGCACTCCACTTACAAGAGTGCCTAGTTTTATTTCTGAATTTCGTCTCGAACGTGAGGATCTTCTTCTAGTGGAAAAACGAAGAAAGATACGCGGAGAACAGGGAGATGGAGATTTATGTGTGATGCACGGAAATTTACGGCACACCCGAATTTGTCCTTTTGCCAAATTATTTACGTCCCGCGACTATGTAACGCCAATGCAGGCACAAACGCTACGTCGCGGCGCGTCGCGTCGCGTCGCGTCGATGTCGTGAGACGAAACCGATCGATAATGTTCATCTTTTCGCGTTAAAAAAGAAAAAAGAATGGAGAAATCTTTTACCTCAAACAAATCGATGATTTGTTTATTTCATTTTTGATAGTTACGGTAAATGCAGCTTTGATTACAGCTTCGATGTTCTGTATCGATAGACTTTTTCTTTTAAGAAATGTAAAAAAGATGACCCTCGGGGAGAGGACATGCAGATCGCGAGTATTAAGACCTCCCCACCCCCCATCGAACTGTCACGAGCACCCCCCGTCCCGGAAAAGGGTAGACGCAAGCTTTTTGCCGCGAACGAACAGTCATAAACTTTAAAGCCACGTAAACCTTTTTACTTCCGCGACGAGAGATCGGTCCCCTCGTTATCGCGTCTTTTTGTCGAGCCATAGGAGAAGAACGACAACGAAGACGTTCCCCGTCGACTGGATTCGGCTGCTTTAAATCGAAGGCAAACGATCGTGAATTTCGAGGGTCCCCGCGACAGTTTGCGATTTAATCGCGTAACAGTTTGCCCGACTTTTCTCTTCCCAGAAATAGATTTCCGACGTGTCGATTCCCCCTCGTGCTACTCCTCACATCCACCGCCTTCTCTGCCTCCTCCTCCTCTTACTCCTTCGCTTTCCTCTCCGTCTAGTCGACGGTACCTCTCCGTTTTCCAGCAGCGCGGCGGCGGGGAATTTATGGAGTTTCGAGCGCGACCGAGAGCCACAGTTTTCCGCTCGTGATAAATGCATCTGCTATTGTGAAGCGTATATACACGCCTGCGACTAGCTCGAGGGGTCTACGTGCGCTTGCACTCTCAATTTTGAATTGGTGGGAATGCGGGGGGGGGAGATTCGATGAGACGCAGTAGTATCAACGGCGGGAAGCCATGCATGCAAACGACCGGCGCGAGTGGACGCGAACGGTTCGCACAATTTCGATCCATTTCACGGGATAGACAATGTCTACCGTAACACGCGACAAAACGCGATTCACATCGGGCAAATTTTCCTTGTGCTGTTTGCAGCTTTCGATACAATCGCGCGCTATCGGCGACAGATTAATGAACCAATTTGGGAACCGACAAATTTCTGTAACGACTTAATGGCGGAAGTGTATATGTAGCGCGATACGTACGCGCCGTTTGCCATTATTAGCCCGACATACCTCATAAAACTGTTATTTTTCGCTTCACAAGTAAGTGGTTCCGGACAAGCGTGATAAATACTTCCGAAAACTTTATCGACGATTTCCGAGATATCGAAAATCGATTCTCCGCGAGAGAGAAAAGGACAGAGAAAAACGGAGGGGAATGTTCTGGCGAGTGTTCTGTTTTATTAAATAATTATTTTTAAATGGTATATGTATGTTTTGCCGCTGTCCTCCGTTCGAAATAAAAATATCGATTCCCTTCCGTGACTCTTTTAAATACCTGCGCATTTCATCGGGATTTTCATCGGGATATAAAAATTGCATTATACAATGAACGTGTTTTCCATTATTGAGGTTTGAATTAACTCTCACGCGTCTGAATGAATAAAATATTCCATTAACGACGATGATTTCGCGAGAACGCACAAGATCCCGCGTAATATTCATGATTGTTTATTCCCTCTGCTATTACAACGATTATTACAACGATATTTTCAGTATTGTGATTGCATTTCACTCTGGTGAAAGAAGATTTTATAGGAGCTATAAAGTGCAATTTTTATATCTCGATGAGAAGTGAGTCCTCAAGAAAACGACATTTCAAGAATTACTTTAGCAACGCCCTTACGGTGTCTCGACAACGGTAAATCTTCTACAGTAACAAAAATATTTCTTTTACTTCTTTTATTCTCGTTTTATCGTAATCTTCTTCTTGTCAACTTTCGTTTTATTTAACACCGGCAATATTCCCTAAAGTTTCATATTTTTCTCTTGAGTCGTATTTCCATTTCTAAACGAACCCTCTGTTGTTTACCCTTTGTCAATTCAATTTCAGCAATTTACGATTCCTAATAAATTTCTCCGTCAATAAATACATGAACTCGTTGTTACGACAGTAACTGACATCATATACAGATATAAATAAAACTACGGAGCCGCTCGTTCATAACTCGCCTGTTTGTTTGAATCGACAACGGAAAACGAATGTGCCTGGCTCATTTTACGGCTAGAGATTAAGCGTGCCATTCTGTAACTTTACGTCGTTAAAAATATTCTTAAGCAACAATTAATCGACAATTAAATTTCGTACAGCTCACTTCCCATCTAAAAGTTAGCTGAAAGCCGAAAGAAAAGAGAAGGAAGAAATAAGGGAATATAAATTCTATCCAAAATTCAACTAGTAGTACTGTGCGAACGCGAATGCTTTACTTCACGCGGGGGATCGAAGCCGTCGATGCCGGAAATAAGATTTACGGAACTCGTTACAAGCCGGAGGATCGATACTCGCGCGCGGATACCGTTGTTTAAGTATTAAAAACGCAGCCGCCGTATCTCCGAAAGCCCGAAAGCCTGATTGGCTTTTATTCTCTTCGTTGTTCGCGGACGCTCGTTTTTCCGCCTGTCTCTTTGAAGTTCGCACGAACGCGGACGCCACGCTTCGCTTTTGTACGTTCCCCGGGCTTTTTCTCTCTCGACGCTGTTAGAAAGTTGCTCCGGAGAGATACTTCTCTATCGTGGGAGGTTGTTTTTCGGTCTCCGAGTCGGTCGGGCGAGCACCGAAAAATGGTGATGAGGAAGAGAGCCGTAGGGCGGGACACTTTTTGGTCGCCGGCGGAATACGTGGGATTTGCGTCATGCGGTTGGAATAAAACTTTCAGATCTCAGCGGTCGCGCGCAAAAAGCCACCGTGCCAACAACCACTCCGGGACGAATTTTTCGCGCGATCGCGAGAAAAATATTGGCACTCTCTCGCGAGAGTGTTATCTAGTCCTCCCTTCGCGAGGACTAGCGCCAGAAAGATTTTCCGTGTATAACTTTTAATAATATATTTTTAAAGAGGAGCGTTCGTCTTCTTTCTGTCGCAATTACGCGTCCGCGCGAGGATTTATTCTCCTTTTAAAACTATTTGTAATTCATCGAGATAATAAAGTTGCGCAACGGACCATGCTACGAAAATTGTGATCACCGGTTACGGTGTATCGGTGCAACACTATCAAACGTGAACGCTATTCGCCTGGAAATTCAATCAGTTTGAACCAAATGGCGAGTAGATCCTGGCGAATTCTAGTTAATGAAACGTTCCGGTGCTATATCGGAAAATTTAATAGAGTGCATACGAGAGTCGCCCTCCTAAGGGGATTTTACGACATGTACGTTTATCGTAAACGCATCTATTTTTCGCGCACCGTCGCGCGGATTTATTATTAAAGTCGATCGCGCGTCGGTTGACCGTTACAATCCCGATAATTGCTAACCGATTGTTCCAGTTTCATTGGTTTCGCGGGCTACCATGGACGTGACGCCTCGCTTAGGTTCGCTCGTTCAATCGCGTCGTCGTTCGTACGGAACGTAACTTACATTTAACGTGAAATTCAATATCGCGATTACGCGCCACGTCACAAATATGATATAAACGTTTCTCCGTCTAAAAATATCATATGAACTTAAAGGGAAAAGTTATCCGAAGAATTTACAATTTTTCCGACGGCATATTAAATAGACACGAAGTAAACGAAGAGAAATCTACAATTTTCAAACATCCGAAGGTGAACGATTAAAAAACTATCGCAAGATCAATTGGAAATCGCGCTTCGTTAGTTCACCTGATAGGGAACCGATGCAAAACCAACGACGAATTAAAGTTTCAATATAGTCTGAATTGTTTTTCGCATTTTGTTGCTTCAGATACAGTGAACTGAGGAAGGACTGACCGGTACTCGCGTGGGAAAACAAAACGCTCGTATCTGAAAGTCCATGGAGTCCCGGGGCAGAAAATTGTGGAAGATGGAGGTTGTGGCAAACTCTGAAATAGACGTGGAAGTACACGAGAGAAGTAGTCGACATGCATCGGTCAGACATTGACTCCACGTCCATCGAAAGCGGAAGAGGAAAAAAAGAAAAAAAAAAGGGAAGGAAGATTCGGAGTCGTTAACAAGGGCGGACCATGATACATTATCTAACCAGATGATGAATAGCGTGCATTGAAGAGCAGGGAAATACGCTTTAGCCACGATGGAGGTCCACGTCAATCAAGCGGTAAACGCATCCGTGGAAGATCCAGTCTCCTTATGGGAAGTGCCGATCGTCCTGAGAGGTGTGGTGCTCTGTAGCATGATCCTCGCCACTGTCTTAGGTGAGTCTTTCGCTTTCTTCTCGCCGCTCGCGTGATTTTTATTTTACGGGAAAAGAAATTGCTCCTCTATAATCCCCGACGATGAGTAGTGTCACGGCGACTAATCGAGAGAGAAGATTTTTTTTATCCGCGGCCATTTTTACCATCTTGACACAATTTAATTCGTTTGTTCCCGGGATATTCTATTCGAAAACTTTGGACAATAACGAAACGGCGATATTGTAATATTCGTTAAAGAAAGGCCAAAGCTCTTTGGAATTCCCTCTCAAAATAAGAAATTACAATATTTTTTTATTCCGATGGTCACGGTATATCGGGTTGTGAGAACACCGCGCGGAATTTTCTGCTACGTTAATATTTAAAAGTGATATAAATAAAATCTGTGTGCCGCATACACACAGATATATTCATATCCATTCAGTTGCTTACGTTTGCTTTTTTGAATATTGATACGCAGATCGATACGTTAAAATTGAGAAAGGCGGCTCGCGTGTTTTCAGACGTGATATGTAGTATCATGTTATACCTGCATTTTTATGGGCGGTTTCGTAAAAAGTTTACTGCGCTGCTCGATTTGAAGGCGAGACTTTAGCGGGACCCTTTCTCTCTGAGCAACGAGGACGTTAAAGACTTTTACGAACGCGATTCCTCGCACCCGGTATTCACGCACAACTGATTATCGTCGTGCAAGCTTGTCAGAAACATGTCACGTTTCAAACCGTAACTGTAAATGTAATTGAATAAATGATGTGTCCCGAGTGGTTCTCACGTCCCGTTAATATCCATTACATCGTGCGATACTTTAGTTCTGTTAATTTAATAACGAAGTCGTTCTCAAATAAAACGCTCTCACGTGACGCAAAATGATATTTTTCGTCGTTAAGAATGCCAGCGTGGATTGTGCTCCACAAAACCCGCAGTTTCTAACATATGTATTATTTATTATTTTGATAACGAGAAAGATCAACGAAACATACCGAGTGCGCGAGTGAATTGCACTAAAAATACGCGGCTAAATGGATCGCAAGAAAGAGAGAGAGAGAGAGAGAGAGAGAGAGAGAGAGTGCAGCAAACAAAATAAGAGCTATTTCTGCGAGTCACAGTGAATCGCTCATTTCGTATTTTACCGTCGCTCAAACTGATGAAGATGTCGCCGAGTCTTTGAACGTCGACGTCGAGGCTTCGTCGATTTAAATTTCGCAAAGTCAAACTAATCAAAGTAGAATTTCTCAAGAGAGTGAGAATTTCACAAGCATCGATACGGTCGCTTTCGATGATTAAAGTGACTATTTCATTGGATTATTCCTCATTGGATTATTCGCCAAACACGTCATAAAATATCATCAATTCCTACATATAATATAATTGTAATACCATATGTAATATAATTAATATTCGATAGAAATTGGCTCTTTAATGCCGAAATCTTCTACTATCCACTCCCCAATACATCATACTCAATTTCTTATTCTTCGCGTCACAATTGCGATAATTCGCGCGTCGAGCAGTTTTTCAAAGAATTAGCAACGAGCGGATGAATATTCTGTTCAACGACACTTTGATGAATGGACAATTTCGCCCTCGGCGCTTAGTCGATAATGGATCGAGCTCATTCGAGCCGAAATGAACGAGAAAAAAAAAATAAAGTAAGAACGAGAAGAAAGGAGCCGCGCCTTAATTCCGCGCGGACGATCGGGTCAATCACTTAGGCGCGCACGTGATCGCATTCAAACGCGTTCGGCGGTAATTAATGAAGATCACCGTCCGAGCACGGCCGGCCGTGCTATCTCCTCTTTCGCAAGGCGCCAAACTTCCGGCCGAGCAATGTGCCCGCGACGAGAAATTGATACTGGAGCTCGTCGATTAATCGTCCTTCTTGTCGTAATTATGCACTGTCAAGCGCCGAGTCAACCCCTTTCGGCCGATCATCGCGCGCCCACCGCCACTGTCGATGATAGTCTCGCAGTAGACGATAGTCTGGCGGCTGCCGTCGCTACCCTGCGCGTCGTACCAGCCCACGAGAACAATGAGGAAGATTGCTCAGGAGAACTGACACATTTCCGAGGCATATAATATATCACCGACGTTGACGGTAATCGCGACATCCAGCCGCATGCTTTGCGTAAACGCAAATTTTCCGCGACACGCACACGAGCGAGCTGACATCCCGACTTTCCCACTTGTCCCATTCGATCACATTTCTTCCCTTCCACCTCCTGCTATTGAGTTCACTCCCGGAAACGATACCGCGAATAATTAAAAAAGAGTCTACTCGATCGTTTCCCGTCGTTAGCACTGCAAATATCGATCGATCGATCGACCGGTCGAGGGGATAACGCGCTACGAGGGAATTCTCACGCAGTCGTTGGGCAAAAAGAGGAAAACCCTCGGCGAATAATTGAAAGTCTCGTTGGTCGTGCAATTTCAAGCAGAGCGAACGTGTTCTCGCGAACAAAATATTTATCATCCGATTGCTTCACTTTATAATTAACGCGGCAATCTCCGATGGTGCGCCGGCCGGCTACAACGCCGAAGATATCTTAACGCGGGCGTAAAACTCGGTGAAGCGTCACCGTTAACGTCGTTCATGCGCGTCGCGAGACGTCGTTTTGCGTCGGCTCACGCCGACGCTCGTCCAGCTATTAAATCCCGCGAAATGAATCCGCGAGCGTCCCCCCTGGGCACCCCGCGAGCCATATAACACTCGCGAGGGGATGCAGATAAAAGTCATTGTCAGAAAGCAGGTAAGTTTATCGCTCGTTCGCGCTGTAACACGCGCGGTGGGTGAGCGAACGGACGGCAGTGTAATGAAGGGGGATGCGAGAAAGGGAGATCCACCGGCGGCGGCTGTAACGGACCTGCACGCACACACGCACGCATACACGCGTGTACGCCCCCTCAGTGACTTGACAAGCTCGGGGAGCGCATTCCAATATTAGTATAGTTCACTGGCTAACTAACGGTTCGTTGAACATGACGTCAGCTGCCGTGGATACGCCTGTTCTCGGTGTAGGTAAATTTTATGAACGCTTGGCGAGGCACAAGACCGTGAATATCGTTGCGCAAATGTGAATTAAATAATCTCCTCCGCCTCCCCCTACCATCACACAATGCAAATCGTGTGCTGCATATTGAGCGAAACTCACCCCGAATATAGTATCGCATTGCGCCGAACCAACCCCGACCGGTCAGATTCTCTCGTGCCGCTTCTCTCTTCTCCCCCCCCCCTCTCTCTCTTTCTCTTTCTTTTTTTCTTCTCTCTCCTCCCCCCATTCTCTCTCTCTCTCTCTCTCTCTCTCTCTCTCTCTTTTCGAAAACGAGCCACGAGCACACGTGATTTTACGCCGAGTTCGCATTCGTGATCAACACACACGTGAGGGTAATTGGCTGCAGTCGGTGGCAAACGTGCTAAATTGAAACCGGTGCATATTTTGCGGAAATATCGGGCAATAGCGTAAGTCGATTGTGACGAGTGTCGTCCTGATTTCTGACACTTTGCACAATTTAATATTGAAAATTAATTGAGGAAGAGCCATGAGGAAGGGCGAAACTCACGTTTACAATTATCCATCTCATAATTTTTGTAGCAAGTTAAAATCGTTATATAATAATCCTACGATTTTATAGAGGAGATATATTAATAATATTATTCCATATAAAAATTGTAAAAATCTTTCAGAGTCAAAAAGTCAGTGAATTCATCTGGAATATATATTCGCGGCATACGTGAAATTGAGCATGTTAAAAATCGAGCGCTTAATTAAATTACCAACGCTAACGAAAAAAATAGACTTTGATTCATCTCTTTCTCCTCTCTCTCTCTCTCTCTCTCTCTCTCTCTCTCTCATACTTTCAGAGAGATATTTGATGCAGAAAAAGAGAGAGAGAGAGAGAGAGAGGAGAGAGACGAAGGAAAAGGAATCTCTCGATACTCCGGTATATATACGGTGTTGACAGGTGCTTCGTTCGTAAAAGAAAATAGCAAGCCGATAGGTTAGTCCGCCGACGCGAACTGAATGTGTTACTAGAACTTATATTGCCCTTCGATCCTATAAAGGTTAAACGATGCGACGCGAGCACATAACGTACCTTGCATGAAGACGTAATCAGATATCTCCGATAGCTATTGTCCCGAGACTCGGGGCTACAATTTTCAGTGAAACTGAAAGAAACGTAGCCCGAGGTGCGCGCACGGCAAAAATACAAAGAATTGTCCCGATACGCAGCTCGCGGCCCGGTAAAAGCGCGTGTAGCACGCGTTAATTAATTATTTCCCGTCATCGGAAAATAAAAGTGGACGATGCGCTTAATTTTAAGGATGCTGGTATGACGTCAAGAGGGAGAATTATGCGCAATTTATTTACGCGTCGCCCCTCTATGTTTTATACGCGAGAATAAATGGGTTTCCGCAGGCGCGATAACACAAGTGGAGATTGATAAAACGAACTTGTAATATTTGCCGAACACACCACGGTTTTAGTTTGTTAATCAATAAACGGCCGTATAATTCAATTCGAAAGCTCTGTTCCGTGCTCGTGACGAAAACGAATTA